TTCTAGTGGTGAATTCTTTTCACTTTGGTTTATTGTGGAATAATTTTAATTTATCTTTGATTCTGAATCTTAATTTTGCTGGTCATAGTGTTCTTTGTGGCATCTATTTTCTTTCAGATATTGGGTCTATTGAGTGGTGGGTACTAGGTTTTGTACCCAGGGGTGCCTAAACAGTGAACCTGATCCCCAGCACTATTTTGTATTTTATTGAGAGACAGGGCCTCAATGAGTTTCTTAGGGCCTTACTTTTGTTGAGGTTGCTTTGAACTCATGATCTTCCTGCTTCAGACTCCTGATCCACTAGGATTGCAAGGATGTGCCCCTGCACTCTTCTAGATATTGGTATATATAATTGCAAGATCTCCTAGCATTGAGGGTCTATGTTGAGATATCAGATGGGGTTCCCTCTAAATGGTATGTATTGCTTTTGTCAGGGAGCCTTGAAAATATTATTGTTAGTCTGCATGTTAATCATTTTTATGACATTGTGCTTATTTGTGGGTCTTTTGAAATTTTGTATATTTGGGGTCCTAGAAGCCTGCTATATATGATTTTCCATTTAATTCTCTTGGCTTAAAAAACTACTGGGTTTATTTCTGTTTCTTTGGGTGTTGAGGTATTGATCATACCAGGTCAAGTCTGATATAAATCTTGGAAGGTCAGTCTAATCGTTGGTGTGTTCAGATATCTTCTATGTTTCTGCTGGTTCAGGGAAAATGGTCCCTGATTATCTGTGAGTTAGCAGTCAGATTACTTCCTGTTATGGGGTGCTGTTTTGTGTGTCCTCCCGAAGTAAAGTTCTTATCTGTCAAAGATACTGTGGGCTCCCTGGTGTGTATTTGGTAATGTGTGGGTTGTATCACTCTAGATTATATGCATAAGTATCCTTAAGCATCCCATTTCAGTTGCAAATAATTTCCCATTTCTTCCATCCTCCATTTCCTGATCCCTATCTGCTTCTTTTGTGGTCTTTCCTTAATTAAGTGACCTATTCGTTTATTTATTTATGCATTATAGTTGTATATATAAATGAAATACAGTGTTATATGTTCGAGGATGTGGATAGCTTATTTTGTGAAACACTATTTCATTATTTTTTTATTCTAGTTTGAATGAATCGATTTTTTGGATTATAATATAGTTTCATTCTGTATTGAAGAATTCCTCAACTTTTATTTCTAGTTGCATTCTTCAGCATGAAAATTAATCTATTTTTGTATTTTTTTTAGTTGATAGCTTGATTTTATATTTCATTTTTTATTTTTTCCTTGTTTGGCTCTATGAGTATCACTAAGATGTTTATTTTGCATTCTTCACATATCTCAACAATCACCATTTCCTTAGAATTTAAGTCAGGAAATTTATTTAGTTGCCTCCATTTGGCCATATTTGCCATATTCTTTGAATGTTTTTGTTATCTATTTAGAACTTTAGGCATTTGAAAAATCTGTTGGGCTACCAGCACGCTAGCTTCATACTAGAGGTTCCAAACATACAAGTTAACTGGTAAGATCAAAATTAAGACACATAAACTCAATTTACCTTTTTCTTGCCCAGCTCAGAGAGGGCCCTTCCCGGCTCCTGCCTCAAGCCACTTGGCAGTAGGGAGGTTTACACAAGAGACCAGCAAGAAAGAGGAAGGAGCATGCCAGACAGTGGGCTTTTATTGGGAAACAAAAAATTCAGGGGAAAATTCCAACCAATGAAGGTCAAGGGAGACAACATTCCAAAGTCAGGGTCAGTGATTGATTTCCAGGTCAATGGTGAGCCACACCCCCACACAGACAACCCCTTGTACACAGAAAGGGTGGAGAAAGCTCTGACTCAGCTGGTCTGAGCGCTTTACACGCAGTCAGTGAGGTATCTCAGTCACGTTCGAGAACAGCTTCCCACAGAAAAACATATCTGGAGATTTTTTTTATATTAACAGTAGAACAGTTCTTTGAAAATGAACAGCACATCTACTGTAGTGCTGAATAAGCCAGAACTGAATTTACCAACTAGGAATGAATTCAGAATGTAGAAGAGATATCTGCACTCCCATGCTTGTTGAAGGATTATTCACATTGTGAAATATGAAAAATTTATTTGTAAGTATGTATGGATAAATAGGAAATGTACACACACACACACACATACACACACACACACACACTGAAGCACATAGAATTAAATGCTATGCTGTCATAAAAAATGAATTTTATCATTTATGGTAACTTGGAAAGACTAAAAGTGTATAATGCTTAGAGAATAGAAAAGGCAGAAATCAGAAAATATCTCATGATCTCAAATTTATGTGGAGAATAAAAATAGTACTGTCATGTCATTTTAGAATACATTAGTGGCAACACTATTGGGTTTGATGGTTTGGGAGTTTCACAGAAAGAATATAAAATGGTAGCATGAAAGTAGGAATAAGATGAAGACAGTTGTTTTCTCAGAACCAACAATGTTTTCAACTTGAAAAATAATAACATAATGAATCTGAAACATTCTATCAAAAAATTCAATGCAAATATTGTAATAGGATATATATAATAATTAAATAGATTCATCACTGAACAAGTTACTTTTGCTTTTGAAAAATCAATCTACACCTGGAAAGTAAATACAGTCTTATTTGCCAATTGGAAAACAATTAGTTAACCAAAAGTACACTAGTAATAATCTAGAAAATTTCTTCATCCACAGAACAATGACACCAATCAAAACTAGTAGGGACTTTGGAACTTTATATCCTGATCTCAAGATGTCTCATTAAAATATTTGTGTCTGTAGTTTTTCATTTTCAAAGGAGTATATCCCTATTGTAAAAGAGTTTGGATGTCAAATGGGTTCTTTTTCTTGTAAATTTGAAGAATAAAAGCCATAGTCACAAGGGTGAGAGCATAGTAATAGGACTTATTTAGTGAAAAAAAGAAATAAGAAAATGTAAGAAGAAAATTTAAAAAGAGAATAAAAGCTCACAAAGTGGGAGCATTCCCAGGAGATGATTTTAAAAGGTGTCTTTTATCTATAGGTTTTGTAAGCTTGATCTTTCCCTATAGAAGATTGATTAGATATGGGATTCAGAAAGTGGAACATCACTTCTAATTTGCCTTCTTCCACAAGTCTATAGAAAAGTGATTTCTAAATTACAATGACAAAAGGTTCAAAGAGAGGGTCTATTGGCCCAAGAGAATGTACATTGTAGGGTTGGTCATTTCTAGGAACTGGTAAGGGGGCTGTCATTGTGGTGAGAAACAGCTGGGTTTAGGAGCTCCATTTCTCAATCCTGTTTCTTCATTTCTTCTCTGAGAACCTTTTCTTGGATGCCTATTGCTGATCTACATTTAATTCTCATTTTGTCTGAATCAAATTCTCCCAGTGGAATTCTTTCTGTTCCTTTACAATCATTTTCTCAGGTCTGATCTAACTCAGAAAATCTTCAAAATAAACCCATTTCCTTTAGGCACATTATGTCAGGGACAGAGTTTTCAAAAAGCACCCAAGTAGGCAAGAAATTAGATCCATTTTTTTGGAACTCTCTCTTCATTGTATTCTGCTAATTTTTAGGGTAAGTATCTGTAGTGGAGAAATGGAAACAACTTTTCTTCTTTCTTTTTGTAGCTTGTTAGAACTGTTGTACCTGCAGCCTTGAAAATACAATGTCTATAGTATTCAGTAAGGCAATATGTTCAATGCATACATTTTAAGATTATATATTTATGGAGGAAGGATGCAGTTGTTGCAGTAATTCACTTGCAGGTCAGCATGGGAAAACAAAGAAGAAGAAGAAGCAGAGCAAGCAAAGCAGCAGCAGAAAAAAAAGTCCTTTATTGTGTACAAGCAATCTTTTTATAGTATTGTGAACAAAGAAGGCAGCCTTCCAACTTCAATAAATCAGGTCTTTCAGCTAATTAAACATAGCACACAGAAGTTTTACTTTCTAATCAGAAGTGACCCGCTTCTCATGGCTAATCTACTCTCGGCCTGGAGTATGCTGAGCTCTGCTCTTTGTTTAGAACAGATAAAAAATTTTTCTCAGCACCCTCCTAGCCCACTTTTCAGAACATCCCGTTTGCAGGCAAGTTCTCCCAAGGTCAGCAGACACCTCATTTTCAAGCATGTTTGTTGTTACCTATCTAAACCTTGAAGAAGCCTCTCATTTGCGAGCAGGCCCTCCCAAGGACAGCAGACACCTTGTTTGCAAGCATGTCCGCTGTTACTTATCTATACCTTGACAGAATATCCTGTTTGCAGGCAGACTCCATCAAGAACAGTAATAGTAACGCAGTTACATTTGATTCTCTACATGCAGTCAAGGTTTTTATTTTTTCATTTTCCTGGTATTCTCAGGTTGATAGAATTTTACACATTGCATTGGGATTTTCAGGTGAATCCAGTAAGAAGGATAAATTCTAACTTTTGTTTCTTTCTCTATGTCTTCCCTGTAAACTCTGGGATGGTTACCAGAGGAGAATATGCAAGGTTCATTCCAACAAGTGAGAAATAGAAGATATCAAAATAAGAATCTTGAGAATATGCAATTCAATGAACATGAAATTAAGAGAAAGTGTAAAGGGAAGCCAGAATGTCCCAGACCTTATCACTGTGCACTGGCATCCTCTGAAAAGACTGGGAGAGAAGATGAACATCAAGAATCTGCCCAAACTAATGACTTTGTGTCAGGAATTCAGTTGGATTCATTTGCTTCTTGGAGTAAGTGTGTAGATCCACTTATGGAACATTACTTTACTGTGAATAACAATATAGAAAATCAGCAAGGAAATGCAGACCATGATACAAAACATCATTTGAAACATTCTGAATTTGGCTTGAGTTCTCATTCAAATATTGCTGTAGACAAGAGATTCCAAAATATGAGAAAAAAATCTCAATGGGATTTGTGTGATAATTCATTTATCAAAAGTTCACTATTTCTGCATCAAGACTTCCTTCAGTTCTGTTCAAATGTCTGCAGTTTGGATAAAATTCAGAGGGCCAATGTCAACACAGTGATGATTGAGAAAAGAGAACAAACTGGTAAGTATGAGAAAATTTGCATCAATGATGAAACTGGGGTGGCATTTGCTGTTCGATGTAACCTAAGTAAATTGGAGGGCACTTCTGTTGCACAGGAGAGCCATGAACACAAGGAAACATGGGAATACACTAACAAAAGATCAGATCCACCTAACACACAGAGATCTCCTTTGACACATAACCATGAAAAGTGGGGGAAATGTGTAAAAGTCATCAATGAATGGCCAAAAGCTCTTACCCATTCTAATGTCCAGATGAAAGACAGATCTTATGAATGTAAGAAATACAGTGAACTATTTAATCAGTTCTCAGTGTGTACAGACCATGAGAAAATCAATACCATGGAAATGTCCAATACACATACAGGTGAAAAATACAGGGAAAGCCCTGATGAGTCATCAAACCAAATTGGATCTAATACAATATGCACCCAAGAAGATCCATGGACAATCAAGGAATGTGATGAATCATTTACACCATGTTTAAATCTTGTACAACAGCAGAACATCAGGAATGAAGAGAAACTTCATAAAATAGAAGATTGTAAAACTTTCATTAATAATTCCTCACATCATGAGGTACATAAGAGTATCCATGCAGGAGAGAAACCCTACAAGAATAAAGAATGTGGCAAAAACTATATTTCTTCCTCAGAACTGCTTTCTCATCAGAGAATCCACACGGTAGAGAAACATTACAATTCTGAAGAGAGTGGGAAAGTATATATGTGTTCCACACAACTTGTTCATCCTAAGCTACTCCATACTGGAGAGAAACCATACACATGTAAGCATTGTGCAAAGACTTTTAAATGTACCTCAAGCCTTGTTATTCATCAGAGAATCCACACGGGAGAAAAACCATACAAATGTAAAGATTGTGGCAAAGCCTACATTTGTTCCTCACAGTTAAATATTCATAAGAGAACGCATACAGGAGAGAA